ATTAACTATAACATTCTGCAAAGCTTTGTAGCCAGGAGAACGTCCAGCAACATACCCAATAAGACACAATTTCTAGAAATCACATTTTGCATCTAAATCATCCCCAACCAAATCACACCCGTTTGTTTCAGTAAATGCAGAGTAATGCATGAGTTTAGGGCAGGTAGTAATATTGCGATTTGAAGCAAAAAGATTACGCCAACTAGAAGGAGAAGATTCAGGAGGGTGTTCAGCTGAACTTACAGTAGTCGCCAGTGGAGCAACACCATTCACAGGACCAACTGGTGCTGACATGGCAGGAGCGGGGGAGGCAACGAGAGCTGGAATCTCTCTAGTGGGGAAAGAGCCAGGGGTGGTCTGAGCGACTACAGGAGAAACAACAGTAGGCAGCAAGGTATCCGTTGGGGCAGCTATGGCAGTTGTCTGAGCACTTGCAGGGGAATGAACAGTAGATGGTAGGTCCACTGAGACTGAAGCAACGGGAACGGGAGGAGTCACAGTCACTGGTGAACTGAAAAATTTAGATCCCCCTACATACTCCTCCTCAGCTGAGTCATATTCCAATACCTCATCATCTGGATCTTCATCTTCAGACCAGTCTTCCACAAAAACATGGTTAATACTTGGTGAGTCATAACGATGCTGAGGCTCAGAACCATGAGAAGAGGAAGGGGTAAGGTGAGTAGGGCATGGACTCTGAGGGGGTAAGACTATAGGCGGGCTGAGATCAGAATTTGAATTTGGGGGTACTGTAGCATGAACAGTACCAGACGAAGGCGGAGCTATCAAAGCTAGAATAGCAAAATTATTCAAATTATGAGAAGTAGCCAGAGACTTTTGTCGCTTTAACTCATATTTGGAGGGTCCCGATTTTTTCTTTTTGTTCGCCATTAATGGGAAGAAGACAAGAATCAGTAGATCAATAGAGCAAACAGTGGCTGGAGATTAGAAAACACGAGGGAACAGCTGCGGGCAGGAGGAGAGCTTCTCTCTCTAAGGCTGCCTTTGTGGACTTTTATAGCCAATTGCTGGGCACTTCAAAAGTCACTGCCCCTATTGAGGTTGACGTTATCCAGCAGTGTCCATGTCTAGATGATGCTTCCCATGCTTCTCTTCTTGCTCCTGTTTCTGACTTGGACATAAAGAATGCTTTATTTCATATTGACGATGGTAAAGCTCCTGGCCCCGATGGCTACTCTTCATGCTTTTTCAAAAAATCTTGGGTTGTGATACATGAAGACTTCTGCCTTGCTGTCCGGGATTTCTTCCAGTCGGGTGCCATGCTTAAACAAATAAATCATTCTATCATTGTGTTGATTCCCAAATCAGCCAATATTTCATCTGCTTCAGATTTTCGTCCAATCTCTTGCTGTAATGTCATATATAAAGTGATTGCCAAGCTCCTTGCAGCAAGATTATCTCAAGCTCTTGTGTCTATTATTAGTCCAATGCAGAATGCATTCCTTGGAGGGCATTTGATGACGGATAATATTCATCTTTTGCAAGAGCTCCTGCGTAATTATGAACAAAAGCGCACCTCTCCCCGCTGCCTGATGAAGATTGATTTCAAAAAAGCTTTTGACTCGGTTCAATGGCCTTTTCTCCGTCAGCTTCTTCTTCTGCTTGGGTTTCCTCGAGTATAGCATGCCTGATGCTGGCCGAAACACCTCCAAAGTAAATGGAAGACTTGCTGGCATTAATGTTCCGCCCCGAAGTGTAACTCTCTTGGGGTCTGCCATCTAGCCTTTGCCGATGATGTAATCCTGCTCTCAAGAGGGGATAGGCCTTCGGTGTCTTGCTTGTTTGAGCAATTGGTCACTTTTGGTGAGATTTCGGGGCTGAACATTAATGCCAGCAAGTCTTCCATTTACTTTGGAGGTGTTTCGGCCAGCATCAGGCATGCTATACTCGAGGAAACCCAAGCAGAAGAAGAAGCTGACGGAGAAAAGGCCATTGAACCGAGTCAAAAGCTTTTTTGAAATCAATCTTCATCAGGCAGCGGGGAGCGGTGCGCTTTTGTTCATAATTACGCAGGAGCTCTTGCAAAAGATGAATATTATCCGTCATCAAACGCCCTCCAAGGAATGCATTCTGCATTGGACTAATAATAGACACAAGAGCTTGAGATAATCCGGACAGCAAGGCAGAAGTCTTCATGTATCACAGCCCAAGATTTTTTGAAAAAGCATGAAGAGTAGCCATCGGGGCCAGGAGCTTTACCATCGTCAATATGAAATAAAGCATTCTTTATGTCCAAGTCAGAAACAGGAGCAAGAAGAGAAGCATGGGAAGCATCATCTAGACATGGACCCTGCTGGATAACGTCAACCTCAATAGGGGCAGTGACTTTTGAAGTGCCCAACAATTGGCTATAAAAGTCCACAAAGGCAGCCTTAGAGAGAGATGCTCTCCTCCTGCCCGCAACTGTTCCCTCGTGTTTTCTAATCTCCAGCCACTGTTTTCTCTATTGATCTACTGATTCTTGTCTTCTTCCCATTAA